CTTACATGTATTGGGATCACATATAGCTTTCCTCGTATACTCCAGCGATTGGCCGGGCGTAAATCCCAGCTGTTTGAAATATTCAACACACCACTCCTTGCCATGTGCCCCGGGAACCGCGAGGTTGTTCGGAATATGACTCTTATCCCGAAAGGAATTCTTCCCGGGGGCATCACAATTATTCAACGAATACTGGCCGGGCTTGATCATCAACTTGATAGTCTCTGTAGTTCCCAAATCGCATCGATCATGATAGGCGTAGTATGATGCCTGGTCCTCCCATCCGACTGGCTCTGAGAGAGATGAAGCTGAGAGTGGGATTCCACAGAAGGTGAGCATTCCATAAAATTTTTTTACCACGCCTCCAAGACGAAGGCACGGAGTTTGGAATGTTTGTAACGGTCGCGGGTTCGATTCGCGGCAGGGGCCTTTCCCGACGATTTCCCGCTCGCTCTCCGTCACAGCGCACATCAGTTTCGAAAATGTGCGTGGCAGCATACGCTCCGCTGGCTTCGCGAATACGTGATGTGTCTCAGTGCTGAAGCTGCATGAGACATCCCAACACTATACGACAGCGTGTCCGAGTGGTTAAGGAGGTGGACTTGAAATCCACTAGGCTCTGCCTGCGCAGGTTCGAATCCTGCCGCTGTCGTTCAAGGCCTTGGCACACGCCAACACTAGAGTTTTAAGTCTTGGCACAAGCCAACACTTGATACTCTGATGTCTTTTGGAACTCCACATGGATAACTCACTCAAAATTGTTGTTGTTGTTGTTGTTGTTCGTGGTGTAGTAGTGGTGGTCGGTAGCGGCGTAGTGATAGTCTTTTGGGTATCTGCAAAACTAATATCAGAGCAGCTCGGTTCCCTAGAGATGAGTGGAGGCATGGAAAATTCCGTGATGACTATGTTCTATACAAAGGCTATTCTATTGGAGCCCAGTGTAACCGCTTCTCTAACAGCATACTCCTTACATGTGTTGGGGTCACATATAGCTTTCCTCGTATACTCCAGCGATTGGCCGGGGGTAAATCCCAGCTGTTTGAAATATTCAACACACCACTCCTTGCCATGTGCCCCGGGAACCGCGAGGTTGTTCGGAATATGGCTCTTATCCCGAAAGGAATTCTTCCCGGGGGCATCACAATTATTCAACGAATACTGGCCGGGTTTGATCATTAATTTGATAGTCTCGGTGGTTCCCAAATCGCATCGATCATGATGGGCGTAGTATGATGCCTGGTCCTCCCATCCGACTTGTCCTGACACAAAACTCCAAAGAAAGCCACCACGATTATCACACCAACGAGATAAGCTACGTATTCATGAGATTCAACACAGCAACGAATGCACCCCGAACGACCGATAAGACTTCACACCTACCGTGCCCAAGACTCAACGCATGGCGATGAGCCGTCCCCTTCAGCTCAAAACCTCCGCCCAGCTGTACAAGCGTCAGTAGGAAACAGTAACGCATATAAGGTGGAGCTCCAGCAACGTGTATCCAATAGAAATTTTCGGGGTGATAATGGCTGATAACGACGCGAAATCATCATAGTAGGTCGGCACCTCCCCCCCCAAGCATACGCTGTTACCAACACTCTCACCATCGTGGTTCAGAAACAGTCGCAGAAATGAATTCGTTAATAATAGCACACGTTTTAGCCTACTCTTTAGGCCTCTCGCTGATGCCACCGCCTTCGTCCACAGTTCATCAAGTGGAAACTCCCTGAGAGAGCTTTCGTCGTTAGACCCCCTCAGAGATGTCGTCTCACAGTCACCTCCGACCGTGCCCTCAAGCACTCAATCGACGTACGAGTTCTGCTGCAAAACACTCTTAACATCCTTGGCAGCCAATTCAACGTACTACTGGCCGGTCGACTTTTCACGATTGAAAACAGCCCACGCATAGCCCTTCCTACCACCTACAACAACCTCGCCACCTCCAGTCTTTAGTTTTCTAAATACAACTCGAAACGATTGCTTCGCTCCGCTTATATTCCTGACCATTGATCGTCTAAGCCTGCCTGTCCAACACCATCACGAGTACCTCAATCCCCCCCACCCTAAAAATTTCGATCGTCAAACTCTGAAGCACTACAAGATACCTCCCACGCGCCCGGCTCGCCCTCGAAGACCCTTGCCATTGCAGCTTGTGGTCAAATACACAAGTCTTATCAGCAAAGCATTCAGAACCTGCGCTTTCTTTCCTCCCGACGATGCCAACATGGACCGAACGACTCCGTTCCCTAAACGAACCCCATATCTGTTTCTCCTCTCAAAAACTCGAGTCGAGGACAGAGTGTTTCCAATGATAAGTCCATCATTTTTCCTAGAAGTACTAATATAGTATTGACCACCCTAGTATAACAGCCGATATATGAGCATGGGTGCAGCAGCAACGACCGGTTGTCGCCCGATTTCAGTTACGTTGATCGCTTCGCTCCGCTCAAAAAATGGAAAGATGAACTGCTTCGCTCCGCTTAAGGCTTTCTCGCTCGCCCGCCTGGGAAAGTCGCTTCTTGCGACCTCCGAGCACTCAGTCGGGTCGTTTAGAAGACCTCTAGACGAGTGCCTCATAGCGTTATAGCCTCTTGGGGGTTCCTCGTTGGAAGCTCCCTACACTTACAAGGAAATGGACTCAGTGATCTCCTTATTATTACGAATTCGGCGCTTGCTAAGAAATGCTTTATTGCGACCGAGCCTAACTAGAGCGTCACATGAGCAGAGGGTGAAGTAGCAATGTCGACAGCCGCATAGTGGGTGTAGCAAAGCAGTGTATCTCCTTTACGTTTAATATGGCCCAGTCCAAGCGGAAGAACGAGTCTCAGCCGATGCCTCCACAGAAACCGAAGATCTGGCGTGCTCTGCTCCCCATAGGCGTCTTGCTCCTACTCAAGCAGTTGCCTCTCAGCGAGGACCAAATGACTATAATCGGCCGAGTCGTTTTTGCCATCCGGTTGGTAGCTCAAACGGGCGTGTTTTTGATGATTTATAGAAGTATAAGGAGCAACACAGAGGGAGACAAGGAGATCGTTCCAGCTCACGAGAAGGACGCGGGTAAGAACATATCCAAGGCCCTCGAGGGTCGCATGTCGCATGTCGGCAGGCCTAGGCCAGATGGAACCGGTCGAAGCAATGACAGTTAAGCAATATGATACCAACAAGTTGATGGACCTCGTGCAGAATCAGCTCATACAAATCGTCATTGTAAGCTCCTGGGGTTGTATATCGCCCTACGTAGCTCGTATGAAGTCTCGAAGGAGAGGCGAATCGTCGTGAGTTTTAGGTCGTATTTATTCACTACAGGATGGGTTACGTCCAACCATTAATCCTGAGCTCGGTCATGGCGTTAATGACTCTTACTGACTCGGAGGTCTTCAAGCTGCATATATTAAAACAGGACCCCCACGACCATAGGTACGTCACTACTCGCTTGAGGTTGTATTATGTTATTCTCATCAGAGCACTGCGACGGCCGTTTGGTGGCGTGAACCCACACAAGAGCGGCTTTTCAGCACTGGTCGACCAGTTCATGGAGGCAACTGCGGAGGAGGATGAAGGGCCGAAGAAGGGCAAGGGAGCTAAGCCTTCCAAGAAATACACGAAAGCTCATTAGAGAAAGATTTGGCGAGTTTACGGTATGCGGGGTATCCGATGCACCTTTTGTTACATACCAGATTTCTCCTCCTCCACCCTATTTGCGTTGATCAAAATATCGTGTCCAAGTGGAATGGGGGACTTTTCTCTGAAGAGTTTTCCCTCGACCGGTATGAACAATATCATCACGCCGGAGGTGGCAACTGCTTCGGTTGAATCAATCGTTGCGGACGTAGATTTGAATCCAACTCCTTTATCGACAGAGGAAAGTGGAGTGTCGGTGAAGGTTGAGACGATCAACGTTGGGAGTACCCAAGGTACCGTCTTGTTGGACTCAAACGTTAATCATAAACCCGCCGGCTACTCATTTCGGGGAGAGCTTTTTCTGTCTTTGCCCGAGTTGGAATCGGTGCGGGAGTGTTTGGAAGGCAGCGGATTTGCATTTGAGGAAGTGAAGACTCCGCCCGCGTCGCCCCAAGCTGAGCTGTCCTTCGCGGCGACGGTCTCGGCTCTAAGGAGGAGTAGAGAGTCTTCGGGCAGCATTGTTGACGGGGCGAGCGAGAAGTCTCCTGTGATGAGGAGTTGCACTATGGGGAAGAGAAAAAGGGTAGTAAACGGTGGGTAATATATTCCGATCGATTCAAGTTGTGAAATGAGTTTCGATTTGTTAGTATGAAAACCAGTTTCTCCCACGAGCCTTTCAATGAGTTTCGTCTGTAGTGAATATTGTGGTGGCATTTGACTAGCAAAAAAATAGAAAATTTGATCGACTATTTCGACTTGGTAAGCCTCAGGGAGAGAGTGGAAGTGCTCCGTCCCAGTCCGCGAGCTCAAGCATGAAGACGAGCTCTGTAGATGAGCAAAGGATGGGGCTCCTACCTAGGCGAGGTCCTACTGTAAAGAAGGATAGTGTGCCTGTTAACGTCTCAGCAGCAGCAGCGACTATGACTTCCGGTAGTGCTATTTTAATGAGTGGAAAGGACCCGGGAGCTCGTATAGTGATGCCGCGAGGATCGGTGGCGAGAGCTGGTGAAGACGGCGCTCATTTGAAAACAGTTTTCATGGGAGTGTTGAACACTATTGAGGGCGACCAGGGATTTTCCGGTGCTGATAGTATACCATATTGGTTCAGTCATCCGGTTCTGCCTCGGCAAGTGGAGGGGGTCAGCTTTAGTGCGTGCCAGCTGCCGATCAATTTGTCCCATGTGCGGCATATGGTAGAAGAGGGGAAGTACATTACACATTTGGAGTTGGAGAGAGACCTACGTCGACTTGTAAGATTTGCATTGAAAAATTACCCTAAAGATTCGCAGCCGTTCAAGGCGGCGGAGCGGTTGAATAAATTGTGCACGGAATTGATGTTTGATGCATCATATCGCATTGAGAATGCGCACTATGTGGAAGTTCAATACCCGATGATTGACGAACCCCCAGAGACGACTTCGGCTTCGAGCGCGCCCCATAGGCATCAATCTAGTGGAGGGGGAGGGCATAAGGGTGGCAAACAATCAGTTGCTTACAAGAGTAAAGATGAGGGGAGTTCTAAGGAGGCGCGGAAAAGAGGCAGAAATTCCGGCGGTGCCGGGTCGAAGACGACCGAGTCGGAGTTGACGGCCCAGATAGAGCAGCTCCAGGACAAGATATCACAGCTGACGCAGTTCGTGTCGAATCTGAGCGAGACCCCTCGGGTGAGCGGCGGCGGTGGTGGGTCGGTTAGGAGGGATAGTGTGGGGGGCCCTAGAGGGCCGGCTTTGCCTTTGACGGCAGAGGAGAAAGTTAAATTAGAGGAGGACATGAATCAGCTGACGCCTGATGATCTCTGTCAAGTAGTGGATAAGAAGCTGCGTAACTGTCCTGGGGTCGTACTGGATCCTTTTACGGGGATGCTGCAGGAGCTAGATGTGGACATGATGGCCCCGAGAGACCAGAGGAATTTGAAACGCTATGTGGCGCGACTACTGAACCTTCGTAATCAGAAGGTGAAGGAAAATGAGGAGCGAGCTCGGGAAATAGTGGCGCAGCAAAGAGCACTGGAGCAACTCCAAGAGATGCAGAGGAGGCGCCGTCGGGCTAACTCCAGTAGCTCTAGCAGTTCGAGTAGTGGAGGGAGCAGTTGTAGTGATAGTAGCTCGGATGAGGAAAGTGCTAGGGAGACGGAGCTCAAGCGACTGTTTCAGAAGGGGACTGCTATATCTGCGCAGGCCGGCGGTCGTGCACTACGGTGAAGCTTCTCTCTATGGTGATCTCGTGAATGTAGTATTATTGTTGAGCCCTTTTCTGTCCAGCGTAAATCGATATGGACAATGTTAATAAAGTATATATTTCTACGTGGGTTTTGGCCGTCGTCGTCATTACTATTATATTTCGAACCGCCCATGTATTGCACGTGAGTTCATTACAGTAGGTGGATATTAGCTGTGATGGTAGTGCCCTTGAAGTTAATAGCTGTAGAAAGGGTTAAGCCGTGTAAGCTCCCTGTTGTGTTGAGTCTCTGGCCAATTGAGGACAGACAGGTTTGTATTGAACCATGAGTTGTAGTTCTTGCTGTTGTCTTCCTCTTAAAGGAGGTAGTAGTAGTAGTAGTAGTAGTAGTACGCTCTTCCCGAATTGGTCCTACTACTAGGTATAGTAGTTGGTGCCACGTCGCTAGCTGTCATCACTCTAACGAACTGTACAATAATCGCTCACTTCTACCTTCACGAGGCAGTGCAGTACATACCATGGTTGCGGGACGGTGAGGACCTTGTGGACCCCCAAGGGTTGGTCTTTGCCCTTAGAGCTCGTCTACTGGGCACCGGTATCAGCATGGAGTATCTCATTCATGACTGTGGCATTGGGGATAGCAGCATTATCGATGCCAGTGGGCTCTGGCAAACTACCATTGTCTCGTCTCTACGCGTCTATGCTTTTCCTATCGGGCATTTTGTAAGTAGTAGTGTATCATACAGAGTAACGGTGGTGGCCCTCGCCTCAGGTGGTTGACCTACGGCTTGCACTTTGGCTTCAAAGTACGCAGTTTTTATGCACAACTCCTACCAGGTGTAAGGGAGTTCATTACCTCTTCTTCGCTGCTTTTCCCTGTAGAACTACCTCATCATGAAGAGCAGCCAGGCGAAGGAACATCAGAGCGCTAAGATGGGCGCTGCCATGATAGCAGCAGCATTCACAAACCCTTTAGTGGAGTCACTGGCGTAATTGTGAATCATTGGCCACTCTATTGAGTCGTGAACTCTCAGATCGGATATGCTACCGTACCCCATTGACATCGCCTTCTATTGTGGGACTCGTATCCACTTCGTCATCATTCCCTTTGGGGTCATCCCGTTCATAATATGCATCCTCAACCTACCCTATGCTCTTAGCTATGCTAGTAAGGAAGCGCTCGTGGGCAACCCTGATGATATATAATTCTTCGTAATTATCAATACGGTCATATATTCTATACTTTTGTATGAACTATATACTTTTTAAAATGGAGGTCGGCAAAGGAACGGAGTTCAAATTCGAAACCATCATGAAAAGCTACGTCAGCGCAACTTCCGTTTGTGCGTTCAGGCGACTGTTGGAGTTTCACTAACAACTCGTTGCTTAGATGTGGTGGAGGCTGGTGGAGACGGTACCGAGTTTTGCCGCGCTGAGGACATTCCCTGGTTTTACTCCTTGAGCCCAGCTGACCAGGTGCGTTGAATGTCTCCTCCATATGAACAGTTTTGACTTCTCAGGAGAAAGTGCGAAACGGTGAGTTATCTGATGACGAGGATGATGACGATGATGAGGTCAACAGCAATCGTCCATATCGTCCGAAAGCGGCATCGGGCGCTAACACTGGGAGAAATTCAGCGATGCGGAGAAGGGCACAATAGAAAGATAAGGTATACAGAAATTCAGCAGTACTTCCCGACTTCAGTTGTTTGCTCCAATTGCGCTTCCGATTTGACAAGGGTTTTCTGCCAGGTTCTCCCCACCATGATGGTCTTTGTTGCAGTGATGAAGGAACATGTTGGGGTGATGATGAGATTGTCTCGTAATCCTCGAGTTCGGTTCGAGTAATCAGTCAATTATTGGGAGTAGCGTGCCAAAGTCAACGGTCTCCCATGTGTATTCGTAGACGAGATGGTGAACTCGTGAAACATTCCGATATCGTACTTATCCTTACGGTTTTCCTACTACCCCACAGTGTGTTCAAGCTCATATTATCATTTACTCGGCTACGCTCAGTTCATCTCCGTACCGTTCGGAACCATGCTGGGCTATTCGTTGCACTAGCAGGTTCGGTTTTTTGAATTCCCTTCCTGCTCGCTTCTTCTCATATGTTACATCCGCACCTGTGGAAATGTTCCTTTCACGGGATTTCCGTATAGAAATTTCCATTGGCGCTCTCTTGAATATTATTCTGTGAATGATCAACCATGCAGATCGTGTATATCTCAGTCGAGCAAGATTTGGAATTGTCGGATGAATGGTTGATGGTTTAGTACCTCATTGACTTTATTCGTTGTGTTGGTTGCGTTCACGAAATAGCAACGACGTCGAAGGTTTGGTATCGGCCACTCAGATGCTCTACTTATGTTTATCACATTTCTAACACCTGGTGGTTCATCGAGAGGATAATTAGCTTCGTTAGGAATGTCTCGAAGCTGAGCGTAGCCACGTGTGCTCTATTTCATACATGTCGAGTTCGTCTGGCGCCGCTCAGGGCAACAAGAAGTCATCTGATGAGTGTGTTAAAGTAATCGTTCACGTATCAGGGAGTCACATTGTGCTGTACGTTTGCGTTGCAAGAATTTCAGTGTTGGAAATATGCACTACGTCAACTACATGTTTTGGTGACAATATGAATATTCTGAGGAAATTTTGGGGGATTCTTGTTGGGTATAAAGGGGGAAACTCCTGAGGTCAACTGAGGTGAGCTATCATTCTTTCCAACACTACTGTTGCAGGTCGTAATCCGTGCAAGGCCCAGTATCGGTTCAGTCGGTGTGGAAGTGCCAGAGTCACTCACTGCTCCATCTGACACCGCATCTACTGAGGACGACCGGTGAATCTTGGGGATTGGTTTCGGATCAGCATTGTCGTATCACAACTCGCTTGTATCGAATACTTGAAGTATCTAGATTACCTCCCTCGTTGTTAATCGTTAGGGAACTCACCGCAATGGTTGAGATTCTGTCTACAGTGATACTCATAAAATCATCAACTAGCTTCACGAAGTTGAAGCGAAAATTTCCTTAGTTGTGCAATCTGCACAATTACATTCGTCGAGAGACGAGTTCACGAGTGTATCAGGTACACCATAGATTCAATGGGAAAAAGTGTGCAAGTCGGTCATGCTATTCTCTGCTACTCTAACGTCTTCGGCCCGGAGGCGACACAGGAGGACGTGTACAATACAACTGTTGGGGAGGTTTTGGACGCCGTCCTCGACGGATTCAATGGCGCAGTTTTCGCGTAATTGTAGCTGCCATTCGGTATTGACTCATCACACGTGTCGAGAAATGATTATACCTAGTCAAGAGGCTGACACGACTAACATTGTATTTCACGCGACGTGAAGTTGATAGTATTCTTGATGGTTTTCATATTGGTTAGGTACGGCGTTACTGGCAGTGGCAAGACATTCACGATGATGGGAAGTGGAGAGAACAAAGGTGGGTACCTTTCGGCTTGATAATGGTATCACATTATATCTTGCCTGTTTACTCTTCCATCGATCGTGTCACACGATCGAGAAGAGTAAACAGATAAACAGGCTTACACACGATTCGTGTGTAAGCTGCTGATGTGAAGTGCTACAGGTTTGATCCCGCAATCATTCGGAGAGCTATTTTATAAACTGAATGCTCGGCCGGGAGCGACCATCTCGGTGTCCTTCCTCGAAATCTACGGAAAGAAACTCGTGGATCTCCTTAACACTGATGCAAGAGCACTCTCGGCAAAGACGAATACTACCACGAACTTGGAGATATGTGGCAACAGCACGAGAATCCACGTTCGGGGCATAACGGAAATCGTCGTTAAAAACGAGACACAGGCCTTGGAGGTTCGACCCACCCAACCTGTTGCCGTCACAACGACCATTAACTCTCGAGGTCCTCCAAGACGGATGTAAGATGCTGCACTTTCGTCAAACGGAGTGCAATGAGTCATCGAGTCGATCACATGCAGTGTTTACCATCAATTACACCAGTTGTGCCGGGCGTCGCTCTAAGCTGGTCTTGATTGATCTAGCAGGGAGTGAGAACGTCAAGAGGAGCAAGGTGACGGGCTGACTTGCACGCTGGTGGTCTCGTGTCACACCAGGTGAACAGAGACGGTGTGAAGGAGGCCGGAGAGATCAACTCCAGTTTGTCTGTGCTGGGCCGTGTTGTTGAAGCCTTGAACAGTGGCAGCTCGCATATCCCTTACAGGGAGTCTCTATTGACCCGTCTCCTCCAGGATTCTCTGGGGGGCAGTTGCAAAACTTGTATGATAGCAACCATTAATCCCGAACGAAGGTGAACTCTCTCGAAATCAAAGAACTGATCTGAACAACGTGAATTCACACAGCTAATTTTATGTCGGGTAGTTATCGGTATTGCCAGTAATCAGTAGTGCAAGTTCTCTGGTGTATTATCTATGGTCTTATGATAGGAAAGAAAGTGAATACCGGCAGACTATGAATACACTACAGTTCGCGCAGCGCATGAGCAAGGTCGTGAATCGCCCAAAAGTTGTCGCCATCGATAACGTTGATAAGCGGGGCAGCGTGAGCTCTCCTGTAGGTCTAGGCTAATGGTCGCAGCTGCTTCCCGTAGTAGCTCGTCAGTCATGTGCATGCGTGGATGCATATAGATGCGGAATGGGACGAGTGTTTGTATTCCTCAGCGAGCAATTCTCAGGGTTTCAACCGACGAGAATTAGAGGAAACGATGACTCGCACGATGGAAGAGTTCAAATCCGAGTTCAAAGGCTGGAGAGACAATCTGGAAAATCTCGTTGGACAGAACAACCGGACGTCTTTCGCCGAGCTAGAGGAAGTTAAGCGTGTCCACAGGGAAAACATCGGAGCGAAAGAGCAGCATATCGAGGACGTGAGGGTAGCCTTGCACTGTTCTTGCTGAGCAGATAGCCTCGGCTTGAGGTGCAACTTGAGGCTGCTAGAGATGAAATTGAGCGGCTCCGCGCGGCAGTGTCGGACCGTTCACGAGAGGCAGAACGTTATATAGAGGAAACTAATGAGAAACACCGCAGGGAAACTAGAAAGCTGAATGAGGTGCTTTGAAGATCCTCGAGCGGCGGAGAGTGTTTTGACGGACATGCATAATCGGTCCTGTCAGGAACTGGTATCTGCTGCTGCCGCCGCAGCCTGCAACCAACAGACCGCTGCTAGACTAGAAGCCGAGCTGATAGAGATGAAGAGACAAGTACGACGCAAGCATAAATTCTATCGATGCTATGCCTCTGTTGGAAAAGCATGTCCTTCATTGTTGGTAACTCATGTGCACCTTGGCAGGTTCCTCGCACTCATGGGTTGACATCACAACTGGAAGTCCAAGGTGCTGAGATTCAGCGTTTACGTGCAGCACTGGAAAGCGTGACCAGAGAGAGGGATGAAGCGATGGGGAAGATGAACATCGTTTCCAACGACGTCGGTACGGTGGCGAAAAGAGATGAGAACGCCAAAGTGAGTAATTTTAAAAAATAACTTTGCAATGCAAATAACAAAACAACCTATATGCAAACTCGCGTCAACTTACTGTTAAATAACTTACTTACATATACTCACTGACTCACCAGTAGATTCCAAGATGCAACAGCACCGCTAGTCTAATGGTTAGGATATCTGCCTTCCAAGCAGATGGTCCGGGTTCGATTCCCGGGCGGTGCAGTTTTTCTTCCAATTCTTTTCTTGGTCGCGTATGTCACATAAGCAAGACATCTTTTCTGCAGAAAGGAGCTATCAAACTCAGTCCCACTGAGACCAGTCTTGTGAAAACGTCGGCTGTGCCACACGCCTCGGACGCCGTACTGAGTGTGCAGAACGATAGTGAGAGCGGATCCGCAAAGCCACTCGAGAGGTGCCTTGGACGTGCAGCAGCGTCAGTATTTGTTATTGTCGATGGGTTCTCAGGACTCCTGCTTTCAGGAATGCATGTGTTCGCCAGGACCCATTCCAGAAAAGAGAGGTAACTGGGGATGCTAATTGTGTCTCGAGTCTCTCTGAGGCACGGCGTACTGTGATCGGCAAATGGGTGTTCAAATAGTGTCGATTGATTGGGCGCGACTGAGGACGTCTTTTGTCTGATTCAAGGCAGGAGTGTGGTAACCGCAGCGTGGCTTCAGGTGCGAACATACTCGGAGGGCTCCTTGACTCAACCCAAACGGGAGGCCTCCCCGGTAGCACAGCGGGAACTCAGAAATGTCAATACTGGAGATCGTGTAACCATCTCGACATTTATCATACAAGCTACTCATTGTATCCATTGTTATGTCATAGACCCCTGTACCCGACTATTGTTTGCGTGTTTTTCCACTTAGTGGTGGACTGGCGATGCGAGACCCGTGATGAGGCTCTTGGAGCGCCGAGAAGGACACGGGCACCGACAACCGAGCACGGAATGTGTTCTGCAAAGCTACACTCATAGGGCCCCGCCTGTGCCCACGAGCTTCATCGGGTCGGCGTATTTGAAGCGAGCGTATTGTCACACTGGGTTGCAGGCTCCACCTAGAATCAGCTGAGCCACTCGACCGCAAACTGATGGAGAGTGTTGATCGTCTTGAAGCTTACGTATCCCAATATAGCTGTCAGCACAATGTTCCCAACATCGAGAAGTTGAGTCACGATCAGCAGTGGGCTGCAATAGAGTATCGTAGCCAAACTCTCAGGCAATAACTCGAGAGCTGAAACATATCTACAACGGAGCGAGCGTCTCTCCTGAGGAGCTTTATCCTAGTGTTTACCATCTCCTCGTCGAGGTCCTACATCTTCGCAGTACCAAACTTTCTCAGTTGGCACTGCGGGTAGTCGCAGTTGAAGCTGTACTTGCTCATCAGGATGAACGCGTACAGGTGCTCTCGCGATTATGCTGGAACTCGCCGGTCAACCGGGCTCGTTGTGTGACAGATGCAGACCGAATGGGACTGCCTGAGCTCCTTGTCACAATCCTGGAGGTGTTTGTTACATTACTGACCGAATTCCCTGAATGCCTTACTCAGGATTCTGGTACCAGTGATCGACTGGCTGCTCAGGCGACGCGATTTACAACGGTTATCATAACGCAAGCGTGGCGAGGTATGAGGAAGTTGAATACGAGATCTGCTGGTGCTGTCATCCCAGATGCATCGGAGGGTCCCGGGGCTCCCGTACCGGTGCCCTACTGTTCGACAATGATGTTGCGCGCCCTCGTGGTAGCTTTCAAGCAGCACCATGCGAACCCTGATATATTCGTTCATACGTGCTTTTGTATCTACGGGTTCATACAGTATCACTCAAAAAGGGGTCCATCGGATGATGACGAGGAAACGCTGCGACAGGTGACAGGTCGTTCTTCGGGCACGATGCTCATTCGGGTGCTGGTGATAGATTACTGATTCTGGGAACCTCAGGGCATCGAGATGCTTCGCGAGAGTGACATTGTCCGAGTAATCCTCGAAGGTCTCCAGAAGCATCATCATGTGGATAAGATGAGTGGCTTTGCTGGCGTACAAGTACTGCAAGCCTTCTTCAGCCACAGCAATGCCGGTGAGCAGTCCGTCGATCGGCTACTACTACTACTACTACTACTACTACTACTACTACGATATAGGGCCCCGTGCTGATGCGGAGCCGTGACCATGATATTTAAGATTCGTTCCTCGCCGATGCCGGTGATTTGATGATACAAGAAGCTGCTGAGCTCATACTGCGAGTGATGTGCATTAATACAGGCCACAGCGGTACATACAAGCATTGCGTGCTACTGCTGCAGACTCTACTGGCTTCCGCGCGGTATAGCGAGAAATGCAAAGTGAGCAGACTATGCCATTCACATATATGCTTATCTCGATGTCGGCAATGGTCATACTAGCAATGACCATTATGATCTTGTATCCACTCTGATTCATCTTCAGAGCACCTTGAGTGAGTGCCCCCACTTGCAGCGTGCTTTGGTCGCAGCCCGCGATGCTTTACGAGATAGGACTATCACGCCTGAGATGGTTCTAGGCAAGCAGTTGGTGCCTGAGGTTCTGGGTGAAAATACGAGGGCGGCGCTCATGCGTATAGATGCAGACGACGACAGTGAGGGTCTTGCGAACGCCCGATACTGTTGATAACTATACAGATACCGTGTATTGTACGCTCATCTGCCTTGCCCGGGTCTTCGGTGTGGAACTTGACTGACTTCTGGATGCCAAGCCGTTGTTGTGGCTTTTGTCATGACTGTTGTGATGCCGCATGGATCGTATATTACTGGTTTTCAATTCGGATTGGCTAGCATGTGTTGAAGGTCATTACTCAACGGCCACAGGGTTGCTGTTCATTCATGGCGTTCCGTTGTTCACGGTAGGTGTTATCAACTGGGAGTAACCGCTTGCGTCTGCTCGATCACTGTAGTGTTCAGAAGGAAGCTGCCACGACTCGTGCGATCGTTGAGTGTTAGGGTTCTGTATCGTGTTCATATGCCTGCAACCTGCCGAAACAAGCCCACCATCCCTGAGCCAAGGGCGCCCCCTGTGGTGCCCAAAGCTGAGGAGTGCTCCTGGGGGGACACTACATTCAATGGCCGATACCCGGCCCTTCTGAGCAACCAGTATGTTGAGAAATTCAGCGATGCTCACGCTAGGCTCTTGCATGGGTACTGTCTGCGATGTTTGTTCTAGCGAGCTGGGTTGGTGACCAGGTGTCTGACACGAGGGGAGCCTCCGCCGTTGGTGGTCAGCAACTTGCAGTACGAGACGATCTTGTCTCGAAGGCTCTGTCGAGTTAAGCTGGAGCAACGGTAGCGGCTGAGATCAGTTGTGGTTTTATTCGTGATGAAGTGGCTCCTTGCAGGCGCGTATTGTTGGGCCTCAATCCGGATGGTAGACGTGTTGAGCGGTATAAGTGGAAAACTAGAAGTGACTATGCTAACTCGAGGGTCAAGTTCAGAGGGCAATTTGTGAAGGAGAAGTCGGAGCATTTGGCTATCGAGGACGCACCGTCAGGGGAAGGGAAACTGCCAATCGAAGACGCCAATTCATGAATCATTTCCTTGCAGTAATTTCCTTGTTGTGTTGAGCCAGCTGAATGCGTAAAGTCAATTCCAATCAACAGAATCGGAGCAGCATTGGTCGATGGTAGTTTTTGACTTACTTCTTGATATTTGACAGTATTTGATGGCATCAGTGTGGTCCTGGACCAGCCGCGTTTGGAGTACCCTCACATTCGACTGGGTATCCATCGAGTCGTGCTGGGCCGGTGAGCCCAATACGGCGCCCGATCTCCCGCAGAAAGTGAGCCTAAGCATGATGATACATTCTTCATGTCGTCTGACCCGTATACGGTCGTTGTCATTGCCCGGTCGTAGTGTGGAATGTTGAGAATTTGCGCCGTTGTATTCGACAGTCATTGTGCACCAAGCGCAGTAGACTTGTTAGAATTTTTGCTGTTTTCAGATTCTCGGTCGCCACTCTCGTGGGGGCGTCACTTTCGACCTACGCGGCCTCGCATGGGAATTCCGTCTGGAGCTCATCCAAATCTTCGTCATCGAGCTTACACTTCACTGCATGAACCTGCAGTCGATCATCTACCTCCAGACACTGTTGTCGCTGACTGAAGAGCCCTCAACAGCTGATTTGGTTTTTCTGTCGGCCAACGTAGCCTTGTGGCTCTTGAGAGCTCATGCTAGCTACTGGATCTCCTGTGTAAAGGCCCATATACGAACTACGCTCATCTACACCGTGCATTGCACCAGCATCGGCTTGGCCGCAGACACCGCTCGAGGGCAGTCTATTCCGAATCTTATGTTCAGCGACACTGCGGACGCTGTTGATGGTCTCGTCGCGTTGGTAGCTGCCTGGCGTCTACCCATCGAGTTTTCCAGCTCGCTTTACGTGTTATGGACGAACCTCACTTACGGGGTCATTCCGTGTCTGCTGATGATAGTCGTGCTACGTAGTGCTGCACTTGCTCTTTCTATCGTGGATGGCAGCGAGCGCAGGGCCTGGCAGGCTCGCAGAGATGAGCGCATCAACTTGTGTGAAGAAGCTTTCACTCCTCCGGCTTGTGGCACTCTGGCTCGACTGGGGTGGACCAGAATTTGGGTTCAACTTATTCTGCGAAGTAGAGAGAGGGAGCTCACCCTCCTTGGTAGGCGCGAGTGGATGCGCAAAATTCGTGAAGGCGTCGACTATGCGCAGCCTCTGATGGTCCAGTTCGTAGCGGCCCTGGTTATGATCACTACAACGTCAGTCGAGCCCGCCGCAGTGGTTCCTATGTCGCTGATGCTGGGCAACGTAGCGGCTCCTATGAATCAGTTCCCTGGGGTGATACTGAGCTTGTTGGAATGCCGAAGTGCCCTACAGCGGCTTCACTCATTCTCTGTGTTGGTTCCTGTCCGAGCATGTGCACAGGACAAACCCGAGTTCACGCTTGATCCGAGATTTGAAGGGCGCGTCGTTGTCATTGATGTGAAGAATGGCGCCACTCTTGCAACAAGGCTCCTAGCCTCGTCGACTAACACAGTAGCTGTCCGACAGACTCCGCAGCTTTTGATCGGTTGTGGTGATACTGTGCGAGACAATATTGTTTTTGGATTGAAAAGAGACGATGCTCGTCTTGATAGCGCAATGCGACTGGCATGCTTGAGGGACTTGCCTGTGTCGAAGAAGGTCGAGACCCTGTCGATGGGACAGGGGGCGAGAGTGGGTTTGGCTAGAGCTTACTATCGTATCCTCTCTGGAGAGACTAGGAGTACCGTCCTTGTCCTAGAGGAACCTTGTATCTCCCTGGACTCGAGGACGTCGACTATGGTGATTGCCAATTTAGTCGAACTGTTGAAGCACACTACGTCAATCGTAGTGTCGACAGACCATGCCGAAGCCTTGGTATCAAACTTGCCTCGAGAGGTTGTTTTCGTCGCTAGTGACCGCCCTAGAACCTCAGGTCAGGAGTCGTATAGAGTTGATTCAGTGGCGCCTATTGGTAACGCTGTGAACGACTCGGTGCCTGAGTGGGAGAAAGAGTATAATTCACAATGTCACAGTCGATGTGTGCCGTTAGACATCTATCTAACGTTTCTGGCTTATGTTGGTAACGGTTACACTTATTTGATCATGGTGCTCATCGCTGGGATTATGGCCACTCAACACTTTCTGGAAGTGTTCTTCTCCAGAGTAGCGAACGGAGAGCGAGAACTCCTATGGAGTTATGCAGCTTTCCTTACGGTCTTTCTCATGTGTAACTTTGGAGCATTCCAAGCTGAGGTTTCTGGCGGGCTCCGTGGAGCTAATAAACTTTTCGCTGAGTTTGTCTCTAATCTGCCACAATATGCCTTTTCTCTGGACGCTGTTGAGGGTCCCGATACTCTAAGTCGGCTCACCTCAGACGTCAATGTGGTCGATCATACTTTGACCCGTACTCTTGGTGTCTTGTGGGGAGCTGTATTATACCTTCTTTTTAAAGCTGCTTTCATGGTATGGACGTCACAGAACTGGCGGGTGACCATGTCTATGATTTTGCTAGTATGCTTAGCATTCGAGATGATAGCAGCAGGCCCATTTCGTCCAGCCAACCGCGGGGTTCATCGGAGGGCTGCGGCCGCCCTGGCGCCAGTGATGGCCGCGGCCCACGGCAGTTTCGAGGTCCGCGACACTATTCGGTCGTATAACGCAGCATCGTGGGTCGCTGACCAGTTCTTGGTGAATGCTACAGAAAGTGCGAGATGGCAGTTGCTTGAGGATGCGTGTCGATGTTGGCTCTCTTTGCGTCTGGAGATCATCGGATTCTTCCTCACTGTCCAAGCTACCTTCGGAAGGCGGACTGAGGACCCAATACTCGCTGGCATGTGGATCACCACTGCTCGAGCTGTCTCTGGTATCGTACAACAACTTATACACAACTGTGCAGATATTGAGCGTGATTTCGTTTCCGTGCAAAGGCTTGCTGATGATCCTTTCCCTGGTCAACAGGAAGTTAGACCGGTGCAAGAAGAGAAGATCTCTGGTGGCACGATCGTGATACGGAAAGCGACAATTGGGTATGGTGATACCATCATCCTCGAGGGTGTCAATCTGGTCGTAAATACTTCTGAGAAGTTAGCTCTGGTGGGGCCCTCAGGGGCTGGTAAGACCACTTTACTGAACACAATACTAGGCGCGACCAGAGTGTTTAATGGAAGCGTCTGCATCTGTGGCGTGAGCCCTCGTCAAGCCAACAGCAGTCTAGTTGTTCAATGCGTACCTCATTCTCCTGTTCTTTTCCGAGGATCATTACGCCAGAACCTCGATCCCGAAGAATTGTTGGTCGACAACCTCCTGTACGATGCATTGGTTGCTGTTGGTTTGCCGGAACTGGCACCCAAAAGTTTAGAGTGCGAGGCATCCGACTTCGTGAGGACTACGGGTGATCGTATACGTCTCTGTCTTGCACGAGTTGTCCTGGCCCGGAGAATCGGTCAATTGCGAGTGATACTGCTCGATGAGTGCGCTGGAGTTTTCCCGGATGAGTCTGCGAAGAGGTTTGTTGGAACTTGTCTGAGATTGTTTGAGGAACAAACTGTTATTATGACGACTCATCGCCGATTCTTAATGACTCTCTTCGATAGAACTGTGATGGTTGAATAACTTTTTCAGAGCGTCGTCTCGAGTTGTATGCTGGAAGCCCATCACAACATCGAACGAACGTTCGCGAATCGAATGAACCTCCAGAATGGAACCCCAGCTGAACACAGAATGTATCAACGTTCTCGAATCCAAGATGATCCAGCCACAGTCATATACTCTCTCTGAGAGAAATTGCGGTAACAGCAACCATCAAGTAGTCAGCTCCTTTTTCTCATTTGGAGAAACATTGCGTTGTAACGTCTACGATGATGCCGTATCAAAACTGGTACCGACCACTGGTCGGCGACCAGTAGTGACTTTAAGCATGCGGAGCTAGCACCGCCACTCGTGATTGGAACTCTTCTTAGGCGCCTTGATGCAACGAAAAGCGCGAGCTCTATGGGAGCCCACTAGAACATTGAACACAACATGCTGTCCCCATGAGACACTATGATGCGTGGTCAATGGCGCCACGGTCTGGCCCATCAAAGAATGCACCTTGGTCCACAACTCATTCTTTTTGACCTCAACTTCCCGTTCGAAGCGTATGATACTCGGTAGAGTTGTCCAAGCGGCAAAGGCCTGTCAGAAATGAGTTACATAGGAGCCGACATGCTTTGTTACTCTCATTTTAGTGCGACCATTGGCTTCGGCGTCGGCCATGCTGCACTTGGCCGCGTAGGAGGCAGTCACCACTTCATACCACGCTCTCAACACTCGTAGATGCCGAGCTCGCTCAAGGGTAGCTTTATAACATCGAACCCGGTCTTCTCGAGCAATAGGGACAGCCTCTCTCAACAATGCAAAGACGCGCCTTGTAAAATCTGAGAAACGATTGAAGCGTGGCTACTGTGTAGCACGACCAACTTTGCCTTTGAAATTCCCTTGCTCGGTTCGAATCCCTCCGACACCGTTCGAGCCATATCGTGAAGGCTTTGATGCTCTTCAGTCGGATCACAGTGAGGTACCAACGCTCCGCTTTCAATTCGCGGAACTTCCTCTCCTCAACGATATCGAAGAACCCTCCGAGAGCTTTTCTCAGAGTAGCCCTAGCCCATATACTCCTGGCAGATTCTAGCTTGTTCATGATGAAAGCTCGATTATGCTCGAACGCCTGTCGCTTGAGCCTGCGGAGCTCGAGGTTATCTCGGCGTCGCCATTCTTCGTTTGCTTCTCTGGAGCTCTCGTCGGCGATGGCCATGCGTTGTTGATCCTCTCGTCGCAATTCCCGTGCCAACTTTGAACACTTTGACTGTTGAGCTCGCTGGTACATACGAAGCACTTCTGGTGGTGTCTCTAGAGGGGTCGCCTTCCTCCGAGCTCTGATGAGGATCGACACAGCTATCCCTAGGGGTATTCATGCTAAACGCCAAGATACGATACCCAAGCTTCGGCCTAGGAATTGCATCATGTCGGTTCGAGCTCCCTTGAGTGCATGCCTCCTCCCGGACGGGTACTGTGGCTCTCTCTCGTTGCCTGTGGTTTGGCACGCTTCTGGGTCGTCGAGCGAGAGCTGCAGCGACCCTCGCGCGGAATCCACTCGGTTCCTGCTCCCTGAATGCAGTGACCGTATATTGCAATACTGATCTTTAAAGGGCTCACTTCCGAGACCCTAGCTTGCGCCATTTCCTGAGCGTCCTCCGCAATACTTGCGAAGCTCGCCAACGTATAACTTCTTCGATCTTTAGCTCTTCTTGTGCTCTCTCTATACGCTGACACAATGCTGACCGCGTCTCGTTGAGCCAGGCGTAGAAGTGTTTGGTTTTAGTAAAATGAACTTGCACTTTTCGTGTCTGGAGTGGAGGAATGCGCTGATTTTTCATGTATTGGTAACCGCTCACTTTCACAGCGAGAAGTCTCCAATTCACTGTTGCCCGCAGGAGCTCTTTAAACCCCTTACGGATCAGGACTCGGCTGTGTCGTTGTTGCCACAACGATAACGTAGAGACTATACTGAACAAGAGCGTAAGGAGTCTTCATTCCACATCGCTCCGCTCACATTTCCACACTCCGTTGCCATCTAGCATATTGCCGTTGTTCACGCTTTTCAGCCGAGTCCTGCAACTTAGGTAACCCCGGGGCCTGTTTGTTCAGCGTGGCCGTCGAGACCTCATCCAGTTGTTGACATTCAGTCTTCGCTATGCCTTGGCGTCTGCTGGCAGTCCTCCTGCTCCTGGAGGAGGGTTTGGTAGCTGTTAATGTATTATGTTCAGAGCGACGACGTAACTCCTCGATCTCTCGTCTGACTTGTGCTCTAGCTAGTGTCAACAGCCGTCTGTCATCTTGGGTAGCGTCATGGGTACTTCCGTTCGTCACCGCACTGCCTAGACGTGGTTTAGACTTGTCAATAGGCCGAGGAGCAGACGCCCTTCGTTTCACCATTCTATCCCGCCTTCTAGCCTCCATCGTATACACCTGCATCAGGACTGTGTAGTGTTGCGAGCAGTTGTTCAATCACAGTGTCGTCGAAAATCGGAATTCCCTCCGGATCCCGGCTGAATGCTCTCGTTGGCGTATCAGTGGGCCGTTGTACCGTAGGCTTCGCGAGCCGCTGAAGGACCTATTGATGGACCGTCAAGATTAACCTGATCGGATGTTACCGTGAGAGTACTTGGGTGGCCAGTGCCGCGTCTCGGTCGTCGATTCCTCTAGCAGCGCACAAGGCACTCAACTTGGCTATACTGCTCCGGTGAATGGTGCACGCAGATCGATTATCATGTTGATTTCTAGTAGTTCCGTATCGATCAGCTTGGGCGGCCACGGTGTCGTCAGGCCATCGGTGATTCTTAACTCGTGGATCGTCCTCTATCTTCGCTGATTCATCCTGTACATCTACCCACGACTTCAATAACGCGCCTAATAAGGTTCCGTCATGAACTTCCCCTTCTGTGTTGCAGTATTGGAATATATACTTGGTTTCCTCAGCCGAGCTCTCTACATTATGACTTAGAGTAGAAGTGCACGAGAACACACAAGAAGTTCTCAAAATGTCATTGTTATCAACGCGCGCATTTGACAATGTATCTATTTCCTCAGACTGCTGTGTTGGAACTACGTAGAAATTTCGAAATTTTTTCATTCCGACACCCATAGCTAGCAACACTATAAGGGTCAGCATTTGCGTAGCGGATTGGCGAGTGAAGACCATATGGCTCACGTGCAGTGTTTCTGTCCGCTGAATTTTCTTTATTGATGCCGTGCTCCATCCCTATGTTAGCTGCTGATGCGTATAGGTCGCCAAACATGAGCGGGAGAATACAGCCGCTACGATAACTCGCTGTTACCGTGATTGATTGACTGACGATGAACACGACGGGTGTGGTACAAGTGGAATCAAATCCATGAATAGAAACGTATATATGCTAGGATGAGAGCTCGGGAAATCCCATCGTCCTTCGTCCGTTGCAAGGGAGGATTCCAGAGCAACTCCGAGAGAGCGATCAAGAAAGATTTCCCTCCGTCTTGCGTAAACTCGTCTGATGCTACCGTGGATGATGAGTTGAACATAAACCTACACATTTTCAATCTCGAATTCAACAAGTGGAAGAACAAATTAGATAGATGAAATTTGATTTTCGACGAGTGAAAGGAGTTTTTCACGAAATGAAAGTTCGAATTCGAAATGATAGTACCTACATTCATAAATTTCATTTACGAAGTTGAACTTTCATTTTCAACCAGTCTACGAAAATCGAACTTTCATTTCGAATATGAACTTTCATTTCGCGAAAAACTCCTTTCACTCGTCGAAAATCAAATTTCTTTCGTCAAATTTGTTCTTTCAATTGCTGAATTTGAGATTGAAAAGGTATAGTTTATCTTAGTATACAAGCGGCCGCGTGGTTCTTCTGTGAACTTCACTCACAACGACAATATGATGTGAGTACCCCCGCCGGGAATTTAGTGGGAATTGTTACACAAGCTGATCAAGGCGTATCTCAGCTCGCTAGCTTTTCGCGAGCTCTGATCTCAGGCGTCTAACTTCTTCCTCAGCAGCAGCCTCGGCTCACTGCATAAACGCCTTGCTACTATACTTAGCCCTACACTAACGCCATTATATACTGTCTCGTATCAGTACAGAGTCACCTGTCTCCTCCACAGCCCTCCCTTGATCCTGATTGACCTCTCACTCGGCGACGTCACCCCTTGTCCATCTGCCGTCCAACAAGTAGTCGACAACAGAGCCGCCAGATCTGGGACCTGTCATCACGGAACTATATGTTCTACATAGAAAGATGGGGGATGGGGATAGGTCTAGACATGCCTGTAGGTGAGATGATGCAACGGTGACCTGGTACGACAAGAGATGCTCACTAATGAACTGCTTTCACTCCCTTTCCCTGAGTCTTCCAGCGGCATCGTGGCTGATGGTGAACTCCTTAACCTTTGCACTGTAGTACAGCCAATACTACGTAATACCATTGTTCCGCCCGTCTCTTTGCGGGCTCTGTTTATTTCTTTGACTGGTTAAGGCTGTTGATGAACGTTTCACGTATGACTCGTATAATCTACCATGTCAAACGTGTATAATTCTGTTTTAAAAAACTCCTTTTCCCTGAGTACCTACAGCGAGCAGCAGGGAAGACCCAAACTTGCTCTCTCGGCCACCCTAGTGACTCCTCCACGCCGACCGGGACCTATCAATAACCATCTGGCCTCAGCTAGCGCTCCCTGCTCCTGCGAGGAGTTATGGCCCACGCGCTAATTGGTTCCTCTTTGCTGAGCTTCTCTTTATCCACAGGCTCAGGTCGTGACCCAAACCCATGTGATGGAAACTCTACACTGTGTACGAGTCCAACTGGCGTCCTATTGACGCTAATAGTGTGGCCTCGTTTATCCGTAAAATTACTAGCTTCGCATTTTCTCTGGCGGGCGGGGAGGGTAACGATCACGCTAGATAGGCGACTCCACGGAAGAAGGCATCACAGACGTATTCGCAATAGACAACCGCTGTCTCTACCTCACCGCCGCTGGGTCGGTCGTTATCAAGTGCTCTGTCCTACTATAGTCGAATCGAAAGAACCACACTCCTTTCCGGTAGGAGAGTCTGAGCGCTCAATCGATGATCACATCAACTCCTCGCAGTTCGGGAGCTCATAGGGGAATGAGTTTAGGTTCTCTGAGCTCTCGAATTGGAGTATAGTAGAGTTGCCATCGTTCCGTTGTCAGAATGGTAAAATTGAAGGAGATTTTCTTCAGTGACTAATCTGATTTGAAATGAGTAGTGGCTTAAACAAGTACAAGCTTGTTTTCCTCGGAGAGCAGGCCGTCGGGAAGACCTCTATCATTACTAGGTTCATGTATGATACTTTCGACTCCAATTATCAGGTAGCAACTCTACTCTGCCTGATTCCCACTCCCCTCCAGTGTTGAAATGTATGGTCGTTTTCATCAGCTGAGTTCTGTAGTTTCCTCACTGCGCGGAAACCAACAAGAATTTCTCTAAATTTTCTCATACTTTTCAGCCCATGTAGCTGTCCATGTGCATATTCTTCAACACTCCTCGCTCCCCTTCAGGCCACTATTGGCATCGACTTCCTCAGCAAGACGATGTATCTCGAGGATCGTACTGTGAGACTCCAGCTCTGGGATACCGGTATGAATAACGGCTAGGTTACTGGAGACTGGGTTAATGGTGCTCATCATTCTCCTCAGCTGGCCAGGAGCGTTTCCGATCTCTCATTCCGTCGTACATCCGGGATAGCAGTGTAGCAGTTGTCGTGTATGACATCACCAATAAGTAGTAGAAGCAGTGTGGGGGTGGACGGTAGGGACGCGTGTTTGTCAGGGCGTCCTTCATGAACTGCGAGAAGTGGATTGATGATGTTCGTACTGAGCGAGGCAATGATGTTATTATAATGCTTGTGGGCAACAAAACTGATCTCGCAGACAAACGGCAGGTAATTGTGCTCATACCGCACCCTGTTCAATTCATGTCCACCAGGTTTCCACTGAGGAAGGGGAGCAGAAAGCCAAGGAGCAGGGCGTTATGTTCACCGAATGCAGTGCTAAGGCTGGGTACAACATAAAGGCCCTTTTCAGGAAGCTTGCTGCTGCCTTACCCCAATCCAATGATCAAGGTGCCGGTCAACAAGGGCAAAGTCAGAGTAATACTGTGGTCGCCTTTTATTGCTATAGAATCATTGCTGATTGTCTCAGTCGTTGACATACAGCTGAACGCTAGTAATTCCGAGCCCCAAGAGCATGCTAAGAAATGTGCATGCTAATACTGCAATGGGTGAGAGGATGAAAACTTTGGGTCTAATCATCCGAGACGCGAATCGATAGTGCTGTTGTTAAGAAGATCTGCTGCTCATCGTGTATCATCGATCATCATCATTCTCCTTCATTTAATGGCCTTCTGTATTATCGACTTGCGTTTAGTGGAGTTTCGAGCCCTCGGATCGAACCTGGGTAAATGTGCAAGTAATAGGACAGAATCAACATGTAGTCCAAAAATCTGTTGTTCGGGCTTGGAGCTGTGCTCTGCTGCTCGCTAATCCCACATTTTGGTCGTTATACAGCAACGAGGGTATGCGTCAGATGGACTAGACTTCAGTTTCTTTTGGGAAATACAACTGTCAATGTAGTCAAGTGCGAAGGACAAAACTACCGTCGTTCGTACTTGGGCAAGCAGACTGGCTAGTGACTATTAGGGCGTGGAGGAATGGCTCTCCTGGGAGTATTTTTCCATTACTCGGAACACAACATCCGGTTTCCTAACACGACGACAAGTATCGGGTGGTCATGGGCCTTCATCAGCGGCTGTCGGCTCTCGATGGGTTGACATCACCTGTCGTGAGAACGTATGATACGCCTGAGGCGGCGGTCCAATCCTTACATCAGCCATCATCGTCCAGGACTCGCGAACTCTCTCCCGAAGCTCCATTATAAAAGTAAGATTCGAATCCATAAGTTGACGAGATTCTGGTGAGCCTCCGAGTTCACGTTGGGCCTTGTACTGACGAATGAACTCGGCCCAGCAGGTGTCGATAGCGTCGAATGCACGGCTCCCTCGCGCTATGAGTGGCTCAATGCTCTTCGCTTCATTAATAGATTGGTCCTCCCTCATTGGAGACCTGGGACAGATAAGAGATGGTTGAAGTTTGAGTGAGGGAAAAAGTAATCGTGCATGAAGCAGGCTACTCACTCATCATCCATCAGTGTACGATCTACCAATAGCCGAGCTAGAGTAGACTGTAGATAGATGGGCTGGTCAGGCTCCGAGGGAACCGCCTGAGGAACGCAAGCAGTTGATTCCGACCTTTCCAGTCGTGATGACATTTCCTCATTGAGAATGCAGTTGTTACCTTTGGAAAGACGAGTTCCCCTTGCTCGTCACGAATGTGGAAGGCCTCAGGGATTGTGCTGTAATTGCTATCGCCCTCGATAGTAGTAGTATCAATGGGCCGTGCAAGTGGGAGCGTTCCGTCACCCTCGGTGGATGGTACCATGGTGCGGAACATTGGCTCACTCGGGCCCTCTTTCACAGATTCGTCGACGAGATCGAGCTCATGGTTCCCCGAGCCGTTCGTGATCTTCTTCGGGCTAGACTTCATGACGTAGTCGCCGTAGCTCTGGTATTGTACGATCTCTGCGGCCCGCTTCAGCCAGTAGTCCTTGTCAATAGCACGAGGGGAACATCGGGCAGTCGTACGAGCCGTATCGTTGGGGATATGCCGGAAGGTACTCCTTGGCGTAGTATGCGGCGCCTAGAATAAACGAGTCGTAAGCTCCCTAACGACAGTCAGCATTTCACCACTCACCAGTATCCTCCGAGGGGAGGGCAGTTGGTAGTCCCCATGCAGTTCAAGATAACTGATCTCTAGGCTCGGATACGTTCCTGGAGAGACCACGGGCCGTTCTTTCGGTATTGGAACTAGCGGCAACTTGATATCATCTCGCCGCGGAGATTTACGAACCTTAACCTGAAGGGCACATGAGGGGAGTTTAACTTGGTTCAACAATCTTGCCTCATCGCAGCAATTATCTCTTGGTAAACGGAGCTCGAATAGCTTCAAAGGGATAGCTCCTCGTACGGGAGAATCCACACGGAATAAGTCGGAGAGAGTTGTTTCCAAATCGACATGGCATTGATCCCCACAAGGAGGACGAGAATCGTCCAAAATAACCATAAACTGATTCAGTTTAGTCGGCACTTCAGGAAATGATGAAGTAGTGACCGCTCGCCTGTGAGACTAAGTATGAGACCAATGGTCGCTTGGCGAGGAGGTAAACCCGGGAGCGGCACATATTCTCGATGACTAACAATAGACTGCATGTTCTATGTAATAACCATATCAGGGCGTATGGTGTAGTGGTATCACGTCTGCTTCGCATGCAGAAGGCCCCGGGTTCAAATCCCGGTACGTCCAGTTTCTTGCGAAAGCCTTTCGCTCTTCACCAAGAGCATCCACAACATCTCGATCGCGAGAAATACATCGACGCAAGCTGTTATCCTCTAAAACGAAGCAGCATTGCTCAAACAACCCGAAAATGGCATGGTTAACTCAAGCGTAAGTGCCCCGGGTAGACCGAAAGCGTCACAAATGCGGCGCTTTCGGTCACCCACCGTCTTGCCTGGACATATTTCAATGGACTATCGTCTCGAGACTGCTCGATAAGCCTTGATTGCGCAAAATACAAGATAATTTAAAGTTGGAATTCCAAACACCCGATGGAGGCATCCCCTGCCAAAAGAGTTCCACGAGTCATCACCATCACACCCCGGCCATAGCGAGATCATTGTTTAGGCTGTCCAAAGGGAACTGGAAATTTTCGGACTCCGCCCAATCGGACAGGTGATGATACTCTAAAGCGAGTACATCACATTACTTCACACCAGAGCAGTGAGGAAGCTCAGATGATGCGGTCTAACGTCAGTCCTCTAACAAAAACTGACATTACATGCTACCACATAGACAATTCCTGCTGCAGGCTCTCCCAAAACGACGATTTCAACGCGACACTTTTGACATGAAAAACAAAGTATGACACTAACCTCACTCCTAATACAGTCTCTCGTGGTCCAACAAACCGGTTCACGACCAGCTTATTGCCACAGCGATGCCGATAGTGTCTGAGCCGACAAGTACGTACATCCATATCTATCTCGTTACCGCTGTGTGAATAGTTTCGACAGAAATCGGTTTCATGGGTATGAACTACCTCAGAGAAAACCATTCAAGTCAAATATACCGCGTACAGACGACCAAGATTGTCAACTGCACTCACCTGTTTGAGCAATACACGCCTTATGATCATCACTCCAGTTTGTCCCCTATGGGCTTGGCGTTGCAGTAGGTATAGAAGAATATCAATACCACAGCAATAGTGCCGATCAGGTTACAGCCAAAGTAAACTTCGTATTCCATTGTAAGACAGAGAGGGGAGCGACAGAAAACTATACAAATGCTATAAGCATGACTCAACCATCGTTTTTGTGAGGAGCAAGGTCGTAGCGTTGAGATGTGATGAGAGAGCAAGATCGGCCTTGGAGACCTGAGGGGGCGCAAACAAACCGTGTCACTAAACTTTGTGTCCTAAATCACTAAATTAGGCGCGCGCTCCCCTGTGATCGGTTTATGCGCGCCTAAGGTTAAGAAAAAGAACATCCTTCACACAGTTTCCAGGTGTATGGATAGACAAACATATAACCCGACTAACCGCTATTATTATAGGCCGTGCAGGCCTTTCCCGCATGAGGTATGATCTTGCTATTACTACCCGCTACCGCTGGATTCCCCTCCGTCAGCGTAAATAGTTATCTTTTGACGAGAAGAGAGACACGCCTACGTCGGAGAGACTGCTCAAACCTTCCTCCACGCGAATGGTATCAACGAAAACTGACTGAACAGTTGTTCGATTAAGTGGGTGAAAAATCTCGCGTGTCAAGACTTGAGACGGAGGTTATATCAACTGCTATTACTTGCCAGGTTCCACAAAGATCCAACAGGGTTAACGACACGTCAGAGAAAAAGTCTTCGAGAGGTCTGGCATCGGTACTCAGTCTTCCCTTTACCTACCGTGGCACGGTAACCGTGCTTTTTTTGCCGGAAAAATGCATTGCCGTGGAAGCCAAGAAACTTTTATCATCTAATAATCAGAGGATAATAACTATTATCAACCGATTACTTCTCTGTCAACCCGCAAAACCAACAACTCAACTCGTAATGCATTGATGAATTCACTTTCCACTCAATAATTCAGGTCAAAAGTTTCGCTGACAAGTCCCCAAGTTGAGGAATCAAGTGCAAGTACACAAACTTTCCACCACTCCTGTGGTCGACCGAAGCTCGAGAAGCCCATCAGCATCATTAATAAGTGATCCTCGATGAGTCACACTGTTCGAAGTATACTGATCTGCATGCAGTGCATGGTGAATGATGTAGTGTTGGGTTTCGCAGCTCAAAAAACTTGGAAGGTAAATCAAAATGTAGCTCACAAAACGAGTGTCGAGTTTGCCCAATGAGACATGGACTTGAGACAGATCCGCCTGGCCCGCTGAACCCTTTTCGTTAAATTGCTTCCCTTCGGGTTTCTGGTTCATCTGTTTCTCTTCGGGTTTCTGGTTCATCTGTTTCCCTTCGGGTTTCTGGTTCATCTGTTTCCCTTCGGTTTTCGGTTCACTTGTTTCCCTTCGGTCTCTAACGCCGTTGAAACGAAGTCGCGCTTTATATCGACTATGAGGGCGCGCGCTGAAATTTAGTGATTTAGGACACAAAGTTTAGTGACAGTGTTTGGACACGCCACCTGAGGGGTCACTCTCATTACATGAACCGCCGAGAAACGGATAGGGTAGCCTTCTGATGGTGAGTAGTTGTGATTTGCGTTAGGAACGGTTACGTGGACATTTTACTAGAATGTTGCTACTGGAGTGTCTCGAGAGTAGTACTGCTCCGTCGTGGTAGGGTTTGAGCGTTGCAATGCGGATGCGATATATTATCACGCACCGACTCAGGAGTAGTAGATGTCCCCAGCACTCGTGACAGCTTCCCGACCGAGGGTGTTCTCCAGCTCTACCTAAAACTCTCGTAACTTGACATCAAGTATTATTGCCGATTCGGCGTAAGATCAAGTGCGTTGAGCTAAGTATTCTCAGAGGCATAGGTTGGGTTGCAGTTTTTTGGTTGTTTTTAAATATGATCATCACCGATGATCAACAATGGTCGGCAGATGGCGACAACCCATTCGGTGTAGCAAGCACTACGGCAGAGGGCAAGCCTGAGGGCCAGGGAGAACCACTCGGTAGTATTACATAAAATGTTCACCCAGCACTCCCGGTTCGCCTTGTACCATTCCGGAGATGCCATATGATATAGTGTTTTGTCGCCGACGTCGTTGTAGGTTGGGGTTCAGGCGGTGCTTGGAAGCTCGTATGCTTCCGAGACAAGTGGCAGCAGCTTTGTCGAGATGTGGACCTGTGCGATGATAAGTTGGCTATAGCGGCTGCGGAGTTCGCCAGTGATTCGATGCCACTGGGGAGGTAGTATTCACTGTAGTAGCAGTGTTCAAGCTTGACATTGCTTGCAGATATGAGGAACTCTATAGGGCATTCAGAAAGGTGTTTATCAGTTTAGAGGGGCTGAGCAAAAGTCTTGGGAAGGCCCGGGCTAGTCTTGGCCCTAAGCTGGAGGACTTCACTACTTTTGTGCGGAAGTAGGATGATGCTGTTTGCGGTTGGTTGAGAGTGTCTGGTCAGGTATGAGGAGGCGATCGATAGAGAGTTGGTAGCACTCCAGAAGGTGCAGGATGATGTAACTAGAGTGAAGCAGGAGAGGGACCATGCTAGGGCTATGTATAGGCAGGAGGTAAGAGAGGAGGGCTTGCTGCCTTCTATATCGTTCGTATTGTATTATCTATAAAGTACTCATGCATAACCATAATATGTGTGTCGGGGGCGGTATGCAAATAGTCGATAGTAGATCTTCATCACTTTCGCGGTACAAGGCGAAGAATGAGATGTCCACATCCATTCATGTAGCTAGGAATATGGACATTTATGGTATCGGTATTACCTTATTTATTCATTATTATGTTGTAGTCAACCTGCCCTGAACAATCTCGACAGGTACAGTATAGAGGTAGAGTACAGGATCTGGCTGATACGCAGAGGAAGGCCAAGAATGAAGTCAGTTGGGTATGTTGGGCTTGGACTTGAAGTTTTGTGGCAGGTCTTACGGTTACTAGATGGCACACAGCGGGATAGGGATCGTCTGCTATTGCTGTCGGTGATTGAAAAGGAGGATGCGGTGGCTGCCAGGAGTATGGTGGAGGTAGTAGGGATAAGTTGGTGCTGCTATTCATCACTGCCACCTCCCTGTTGATGTCCATCATACATATGTAGTGAGGAATTTTCGGCTTGGGACACTTCATATTCGAGGCGCGATGCGATTTGTTCGGAACTGCAGAGGAGGGTGTTCGTGGTTTGGTTTCTGAGAGATCTCATTTTGGTGGAGCATTCACTTGGTTCGGTCTGTGGGTGGTCTTAGTTGGCAACTGCTGTTGATTTTAGGGCGCCCGAGCGGAGCAGAAGCGGGCTGAGGAGGTTTCTAAGGTTGAGCACAAGCTGAAACACGAGGCTGAGGGCGTGGCGAAGGAGGCTAAGAAGATGTGCAATACCATCACGCGTGAACTGGATAGGGTCCGCCGGCAGAAGCTGCAGGTATTGTTAAGTAGTGGTATGTCGGGGAGTTCGGGAAGGTGTGGTAGGTGTCGAGGGACTTGGAAAAAGAAGAACGTGCGAATAGAGAGTTCGCTGCTGCTGGGGGAAATCAAAGCTTCCAGAAAATTCAAAGTTTGCAGGTTAGATGGGATGGTGATAGTAGCGACGTGTTGGGAGTGCGATGTGGTTAGGCTCAGCTGAAGGAAGCATTAGACGCCCGAGCCGAGGCTATTGGCAGAATAAAAGCTGCAGAGGATGCTGCTACTGAGGCTAAGACCAAGCAGCGAGCAGATATGAGAGTGGTGAGTTAGTGTTGTTGGGGGGAGGGTTGGGGGATGATCCGTCATGTGGGCAGAGACAGCAGCTTGATCTGGATGCGGAGGATGCGGAGGAACAGATGAAGCAAGCTGAGGATATGGCGGCTCAGGTGGCTGAAAGGGCTAATGTAGTATTGTAATAGGGGAGAATGGCTGAGTTGGGAGTAGTAGTAGTAGTAGTAGGCATGAATGTATTGTATATTATGGAAGGCTCTTATTGTGATATTGGTAATCTGTATTGTTTTTCGATACCATTGGAAGGCATGTTTCAGGCCTTGCCTGGCGTCACTGAGGAACGCGATAAACTCCAGCAAGAGCTCAACGAGGTGGCTCAGAATACGGCGAACCTTCAGACTAATGTAGGCATGAGGAGTTGGGGGTGTGGGGGGTAGGCGGCGCCGTATGGTAGTTGAAGAAAGCTGAGGAGGATATAGCGAGGCTGAAGGAGGAAACAGCAGACTTGCCCAACATGCGCAAGCGGATTGAGGAGGTTGATAATGACGTAGTGGAGCAAAAGGCGGCACTTCAGAAGGCTCAGCAGGAGAAGGATGAGATCGTAAGAATGTCGGTGATGGAGTGCGGTGCATGAAAATATGCGCATTGTGTTGGTGACAAAATGAAAATTTTGAGGATTTTTAGGGGAGTTCTCACTGGTTTATTTGAACTTCTGCCCAAGTCGTGTGTAGATTTCTAGGGAGTTTCACCCTAGTGACATGAAGAACACTAGTGAAGGAGAGATTCCACGACTACTGCTTACCGCAAATATCGCATTTTTCACCGAGTTTTATGCCACTTCACGTAAAACGGGCGAAACTCCAATAATCAGTGCGATGAGACTATATTACATATATTACAACATTGATGGAGTCGTTGAGGGCGTGATTCCCTTTGTTGTCAGTCGGCTAAGCTTGCAAACTTGAAGATGGAGGCGGACACGGCTGAGGCTAGTGCTAGTAGTTTGAATAAGCAGTTGGAGCAGTAGGATGGGGGTGGATGGATGACATTTCAAACGTTAATTGAACATAAAACGATCGTCCATGTGGCCCCGTTGCCTCGCGGTGGTCATCGCGCTACTCTAGTTTGTGTGTGGCAGAACTCAAACATGGATTGCCGATTTGAGGAAGAAGTCGGCAGCGGCTTCAGAGGAGCTGAATAAGACTACTATGGAGTTGGATGAAGTGAAGCAGGTAGTAACTGGTGTGGGAATTGAGGCTTCGTTCCATTGGTGGCGTCCTTAGGTTTTATCGCAAGAGCAGCAAGGAAAGGAAACGGCACTGCAGAATGGCAAGGAGGCGCAGACTGCAATCGCGGAGAAGGAGGGGGAGACGGCAGCTGCTTTGGAGTCGACAAAGGAGGCCACAGCGGAGCGGGACGGGTTGAAGAAGCAATTACAGGGTGGGTGAAGGGGTGATGGGTGGCAGTGTTGAGCGGGGTGAGGTATGGTGATCAGATATGAAGACGGAGATAGGACAGATTCAGAAGGAGATAGGAGCTGAGCAGAAGGCGACAGCTCAGGCCCAGAGGGATGGGGGGAAGATAGCTGGGAAGGTGGAATCGATGCAAAAGAATATTGATGTGGGTATAGTAGT